ATGAGATGACTGTTGTTGTAAATATGCGCTATACAAATAAAATTGAATTGAATTGAATTGAAAAACTGTGCATGCAGAGGGAAGCGCACTTTGAGATGTCAATAGTCATCAAAAGGATGTGTGTTTGAACAGTACAGTTACAATTTTTCTCACTTGCTGTATGTGTGTGTTTAAATTAGGGCTGGTCCGAATGGCAATTTTTGATCTCCGGACATTCGGTCCCAATTAATGACGAATATCCTGAATGTTCGGGGGTGCCGCGCGGTGGTGGCGGGTGTGTACATTTGGCTATTAAGACCAGTTTCTGTGTTTAGGCGGGGGGTATTCGGAGATCAAGTTTGATATCCCGATTCCAGCACAGCGAACCAGTGGTTGGCTATTCAGGTCCAGCTGTAGTTTAAAACAAAGATGATGTACACAAACATACATACGTGCGTGCGTGCGTGAATGAGACGGACTGGCCTTGTATGACAGTTGTGTAGAAGAATTTAGGTTCCAGTTCTGCTAACCTTTTTGTATAACAGAGCTCTGGATGACAAAATTCAAGCATAAATAATATTTTAATTTTGAATGTATTTGCCTCCTGCGTGAATTGTGCATAACTGCATAGGGTAGAGTTATGTAGATTAATGGTGGTTATAATGGTGGTGCTTGGAGGGCCAAATATTTTCTAAGGTGGGTATTATATGTAAAAAGTTTGAGAAACACTCATCTAAAACAGTACAATGTATTTTACTGCAACAACAATGATTAAAAACTAAGAAACTAATTTCCTGTACTTGTGCCTAAACAACTCAACTGCATCCACAGATGTCACTCTGGCTGTATATGTGTAATCTTAGTAACAAGTAGGATATCCTCATCAGTTTTTAAGTAAAATACACCTGCTTTCAGGAAGCAGTCTAAAAATGTACATCCTCTACTCAGAAATAATACAAAATATGAACAAGTTTAAAGTTGGCAATTGAACAACACTTAGGTGTAATTGTTGTCCAAAATAAGTCACAAAACAATTTTACAGGTTAAAATTAAGCTAAATGTTAAAAATATTATGAAAAATAACCTAAGTCTTTATCTTTTGAATAAACTGCATTTATTTAGTTTGTTTATTCGGAGTGCTTTCATTAATCTATTTTCACCCCATCCTCCTGATACAAGAAGTGTGTCTACAACAGGTGGTAGAAGTCTCACCGCCCTTCATCACACACTGATACAGGATTAGGGTTGGACATTGCTCAAAATCTTCTGATGCCTTCATAATGCCATTGTTTCAGACCGACATATTAGAGCTTCTGCTCTGACTGCATCAGAATTTAATTTGTCTTAAAATGAGCAGCTAGACACAACCTATGCCAGAGTGAAATGTTTAAAAGTCAAGAGTTAGAATTTATTTGGTCAAAATAAAAGTAATGGTAGGAATGCTAGATCTTAGATATCCAATGCTATGCTTTGTGGTGGCATGCTATGGAGACATTTCAAGAGAAAGCACTGAAGATTCAAACCCATCAGCTCAGCTGCGGGCTGTACCACAAAGCAAGTTTGACAAAATCAGGCACACTTTGTGTAGACTTGTTCAACAAAACCTAAAACCTCAGTCAGCAATAGTGGGTCTCAGGACAGTGGCTGCCAACTTTCTTTGTCAACCCATGCTTTCTGCTTCACACTCTGTGCACCCTCACATAAAAAAGGGGTGCTTGACACGCAAATAAAAGTGAAAATTTATTTTAATGATTGAATATTCTAAACTTTGGCCTAAACTTATTTGTGTGAAAGGAACTCAATTCAATTCAATTTTATTTGTATAGCGCATATTTACAACAAGTCATCTCACAGCGCTAGACGTAGGAGACCGAAACGTTGACAATAAATTGTCTTTGGGCAGGCTAACATTCACTGAAAATATGAAAAGATTTGGTTGAATTATTATAGCAGTAGAGCTGTATACTTTCGATCAATTTTTAGGCGATTTTTGGTCATTTTTGTAAAAAAGAAAAAAGAAAAAAAAAAAACAAGGGGTGACCAACTCCCTCCAGGTTTGACCAAATTTCCTTAAACTTAGATTGTTGTAGTTTTGGGTGGACCCCTTCAAACTGGCAAAGTTTAATGGAAATCGGTGAGAAGGCTTGTGTCACCGCCGCCTGGTCCTATCATGGATGCACTCTTAAACTCAAAAACGCTATTAAAACATCTCGCACTCCCTGACCACTATAATAAGTACTAACTATTTTTGCAAACTTAATCTTTTTAATTAACAACACCAGCAACATAATTTTATTTTTGGTTTGTGTGCCTGACAACAATGTCAGTATTTTAAAACCATCTACAGTGAGTTTTGATGCAAGCCCATCTCTCTTTTATGGCATGGATGACTAGCACAGTGTGGCACAGGCTGCAAGTCAAACCACTGACAGACAGTGACTGATGGATAGATGGATAGATAGATAGATAGATAGATAGATAGATAGATAGATAGATAGATGACTGCTGGCTACTTACACCACACTCCCCTTCCACCGATCCGTTGACCATCATCCTACCACAGTACAGGCCTGGACACGTAGAACTCATGGCCACAACTGGAAGGACACACAAAAAAACACTCACCACCAGGACTTAGTTGTCTAAGTGGGTCTCCGTTTCATAATAACTAGCAGAGGACTGTTCAGGGCTAGCGGAGCTCCGCAGTAGTGCTGGCGGCTCGCCTCCATCGTTTCCTGCTACGGTCTGTTTGATCGCAGCTTTGCGATGGACTTCATGTTGGCCCGTCACTTCCAAACACTACACGCATGCGTAGCAGTGGGGACACCTTACTGACATAATAACAAATGCGATGATGATTGTGTCCATTTCTACATATTGGTGATGATGCAGTCGCGACACAGAAGAGCTTTACGGCCAACCAGAAGCAGCAGTTGGACGGCAGCAGGCTGCGGGAAGCCTCCTGGCTCTGCTCAGTGTTCCAGTCGTGGGTTTATTCACAGAGAGGAAGCTAATAAATGAGCTGGGCTGGGAGGTGTGGTGAGCTCGGTTAGCTAGTTCACCGTAGTACAACCATACCATTCGCCTCTACGAGATAGCTGTCGTTAGACGAGACAACGGAACGTTGCTGGAACTCACCCATTGTGGCCCAACAACGACTTCCAGTGGTTTTCACCGTCTGACACTTAAACCGGCTGCTGCTCAACCACAAGCGGACATGACCGCGACCTGCTGCTGCTGCTGATGATGTTTTTTCTACTGCCGCTTCTTCTTCTTCGTCTTCTTCTTCTTCGTCTTCTTCGTCTTCTTCTTCTTTGTACATCGTGGCAGACTGAGCGCAGCAGCTCCCTCTGCTGGCCATCAATACAACTCCACTGACAGTCTTATTCTTTTGCCGAGCCTGGGACGGTGGAGAAACTCGTTTCCAGATTTTGTTGCATCACAAAGCTCCACGTTGAGCAGTGATCTAATTATTAGTATGTGAAGTCTCTGAAAGTTCTGCTGCAGGAGGGTTTCCCCTGTGTGATACTGTTCTAGTTTTCTGCCCCTCCACAGGGTGCTTGTTAGCCATCAGCAGCCCATGATTCAGTCTCAGCATGGTTCGACCCACATGGCCCTCCTACCAATTTTTGTTTTTGAAAAAATGTGTTTTAGTGTTGGCTGTACTGAAAACACAAACATGCCTTTTACTTCTCCCATGCTTCTACCATAAGCTCCCAGTCCTGATGACTGTTATTGAATTTTACAGAACCTATCAGTTCAGTCTTGCTCCTTTTGCTTCCAAGGACAAGTCAGAGCTTCCCGTTATTGCTTTGATACTGACAACGATAGGGATCTCCAGGCTGCACAGTGGCAGCAACAAGAGCTCCAGTTCACATCCCGGCCTGGAAATTTTGTGTGTGGAGTTTGCATGTTCTCTCCAGGATCTCCAGCTTCTTCCCACAGTCCAAAAACATACTGCACTGTAAAAAAAAAAAAAAAA